CTTCTCGAAAAAGATGATATTCTGTGTAAAAAGGTTAAACTTCAAAATCAACACAAGGTCCCACCGGGTGTGCCAATTTATTTACCGTGGGAATTGGTAAACAACCGCTGATCTTCCAAAAGGTTACTTATTTGGTGACTCGCATGATCGATCAGATTGATCCTAAGACATGGTTGATTTTGGGGTTTTGACTAAGTTCAATAATGGTTAAATGATAAGAAAATAAAGAAGCTTTATGTAAATTGCATGAGGAAGAAAACTTGATAGAATAAAGGAAGGCTTGAAATGAAGGCTTCGACTGGAAAAGTAAATGAAGAGCAATAAAGTTCTGGAAAATAAATGACTTTGATTAATTAAAGTGGTGTTTCACACATACATTCTCAACAATTCTTTCTCTCACGCTGGGTACTCGAATCTATATGAGTAACTTGTATATAATTGTGAACACACGCGAAAAACTGCGTGAACTACTAATATTTATACTAAACACATCCCAAGTAACCGTCGGGCAGTTACGCTGCTTCGAGATGACTCCACTTGGCACGTTCACAGCGTTCGACGCTCCAGATCTTGGCACGTTGCACTTGGTAATCGCTGGGAACCGTTTTCCCTCCAAACGTTTGAATCTCAAGTCGTTCCACTCTGAGCAATCGAACACCTTCGTCGAGAAGCACCTTCGACGTCGAAGGCAACAAGATTCTTCCTTGGAAGAAATTCTCTAAGTACATTGCCATCTTCTGATGAGCATTTCGACAGAACCAGTCGGTCGAAACCATTCTTCAGCTTTAATGGCTTATATTAATAAAAACAAGGGTGTCGAATTTAGGAGCCAACAGAACCATGCTAGTTTCTTGGAATGTTAGGGGGCTCAACAAGCTGGGGAAGATAAAAGAGATAAGCTCACTTCTCTTATATCTACAACCAACCATTAGCATTTTGCTTGAAACTAGAGTTAAAGAAAATAAGGCCAAGAAAGTCAGAGATAAGCTTAATATGCACAGATCCTGCATCGATAACTACTCTGCCCACCCCAATGGTCGAATCTGGATTCTTTGGGATGATACAAAGGTTGATCTGAAGCTGCACAGTATGTCTAGTCAACACCTTCACTGTGGCATACACACAGTCACAAGGGAGTTTATCTTCTGGCTTACTGCAATTTATGCCTTAAACCAATTGGACATGAGAAGAATTCTTTGGAGAAAGCTGGAAAACATCCACACTAACCAAGTTGGCACTTGGTGTGCCATAGGCGACTTTAATAATGTGGTTACAGCTAGGGATAGAATTGGTGGTAAAATGGTGAGTGATTATGAATTTGTTGATATTGCAAGCATGATGAGAAATACTAAACTGTATGAAATGGATAGTGTAGGTGACCACTACACCTGGTCAAATAAGCATGCCACTGGTACTATATATTCTAGGATTGACAGGGAAATCTGCAACACTGAATGGTTCCAGCTTTTTCCAGAGCATGTGCTGAGTGTTTTGCCTCCAAATGTTTCTGACCACTCCCTGCTTTCTATCAGTGGGCCAACTGAGGATAAAAGAAGTAATCACTTTAAATTCAACAACTACCTCATTGATATCAATGGATTCAAAGAAATGGTCAAGGTTTCCTGGGATAAACCAGCCTGTGGGGACCCTATGCAGGTTCTATGGTACAAGCTCCAAAGGCTTAAGGAAGATATCAAGAATTTTAGTAAGCAGACTGGCAATTTAAAGCAGAGGCTGCTGGTAGCGAGGGAGAAGTTACATAAAGCCCAAAAGGAACTCCAAAATAACAGGCAGGATGGAAATTTGATAGAGCAGATCAAAACCTTAACTAAAGATATCATTAATCTTCATGATCATGAGGAGAATAGGTTGATCCAAAGGGAGAAAATTGACTGGATAAAAAAGGGAGATGGCAATAACAAATTCTACTTTTCGCATATCAAAGCTAGACAGAAAAGGAATTACATCAAATTCCTACAGAATGATAAGGGGGATGTCATTACAGGGAATAATAACATTGAAAATGAGGTTATGACATTTTACCTCCATCTGCTGGGAGAGACCCCTAACCAAACCAAGCATATTGATGTGGAAGCTATGAGAATGGGCAGGCAGATTTTGAATGATCAAAAGAGCAACCTTGTCAACTGTGCTTTTGTCCAGGAGATTGAAGATGCCCTAAAGAGCATTGGTGACAACAAATCCCCAGGCCCTGATGGATTTACTGCTAAGTTTTTCAAAAGCTGTTGGGATATTCTGCAGAAGGATGTTATTACAGCTGTTGAGGAGTTTTTCAGAACTGGTAATATCCTCAGCAATTTTAACAGTACTCTGGTAACCCTTATCCCTAAAGGAGACAGTGCTATCGGTATTAAGGATTATAGGCCTATTTCTGGGTGCAATGTCTTTCTCAAAATTATCTCGAAGATTCTTACAACTAGATTGAAGAAGATCTTGCCTTCTGTTATTAACAAGAATCAGGCAGCTTTTGTCTCAGGCCAAGACATCCACAACCACATCCACTTAGCCTATGAACTTGTTAAAGGATATGATAGGAAACATGGTACTCCAAGTTGCATGATGCAAATCGACCTTCAGAAGGCTTATGACATGGTTGAATGGGGTGCGTTAGACAGTATTATGAGGGAACTGGGATTCCCTACCAGATTTGTCCATTGGATCCTCACTCTGATCTCAACAGTTTCTTATACCTTCAATATTAATGGTAACCTTTCTAACATTCTGCAGGCAAAGAGAGGGATCAGACAGGGGGACCCAATGTCCCCGCTCCTGTTTGTGCTCATGATTGAGTATCTAGATAGGTGCTTGGTGAAAATGCAAAGAAATCCTGATTTTAACCACCACGCAAAATGTGAGCAGATGGCGCTGACAAACCTGGCTTTTACAGACGACATCCTCCTTTTCTGCAGAGGGGATGCTGGATCTGTGGATATTCTTATGATTGCTTTTAGGAACTTTTCCCTCTCCACTGGCCTTATTTTTAACCCAAGCAAATGTAACATTTTATTTGGCAGTATGGAGTTGACAGAGAGAAACAATATCAGGTCTAGAGTTGGTTTTGCAGAAGGTAGCTTCCCCATCCGATACTTAGGGGTACCACTCAGCAGCAAGAAGCTCAGTTTGCAGCATTACCTTCCCCTAATTGCGAAAATTACTGGGCGTATCCACCATTGGTCTACAAATCTGCTCAGTTATGCTGGACGTATTCAACTTGTTAACAACATTATCTGCTCTATTACTCAGTACTGGATGCATAATTTCCCCCTTCCAAAGTGCGTGCTCAGGAAGATTGACACTATTTGCAGGACTTTTGTTTGGACTGGTAGGAATGATGCTAGCCATAAAAGTTATGTTGCTTGGAAGAATATGTGTAAACCAAGGAAGCAAGGAGGTTTAGGTATCAAGAACCTAACGGTTTGGAACCAAGTTGCCTTACTTAAGTGCCTTTGGAATATTAGTAATAAGAGTGACAGCCTGTGGGTCAAATGGATACATAAGGTGTATCTGAAAAACTGTGACGTTATGGAAGCTACTGTGGGGATAAGCTGGACGTGGAACATTAGGAACATTTTGAACCTTAGAAGTAAGGTCACTCAAATCCAACATCTTTGGGACCAAATGCTTCTTCATCAAAAGTTTTCAATGAAAGTAGTTTATAACTTGCTTATTGATGACTTGAGTAGAAGTACTTGGAGTAAGCTCCTTCTGCATAATCATGCTAGACCGAAAGCCAAATTTACTGCCTGGTTGTTGTGTCATGGGAAGCTCCCAACAAAGGATAGGCTGGTGCGGTTTGGAATTGTTCAAGATAGCTTATGTAGGTTGTGTGATCAGGAGGAAGAATGTGCTAACCATATTTTCTTTAGCTGTCCCAAAACTTTTACTATCTGGATGGCAACCTTAACTTGGTTGGGGGTAAACCATAAACCCCTTCTCTGAGAGGATGAGTTGAAGTGGATTCTGGTTAGTACTAAAGGTAAGGGCTGGCGGGCTACTGTGCTCAAAACGGCGTTTACAGAAACAATTCATGAAACTTGACTGCTTAGGATTGCTACTATTTTTGATAATATTACTTTTAACAACAATTCGGTAGAAAGAATTATTGATTGTATAGTGTATAGATACTGGGGAAATAGGAAGATTAGGCCTAATATTACTAGATTAATATTTTAGCATTCTTTTTGTAGACTTAGATGACTGAACCTGTAGAGGTTTCCTTGGTTGTCTTGTTTCCTTTTGAATTAATATATCTTTTTTGGTTCAAAATAAATAAATAAATATATTAATAGAGTTGTTATAATCTTTGTGATAGACATTTATTTTTTCAAGTTATATAGTAGATTTGTAGAAAATAACGTGAAAATAAAACGATAAGAAAAAACAAAACCAATAAAAATGTGTAATTAAAAATATTAAAAAAAAGAAAAAGAAAAAGAAAATAGTGTACTTGTCCTACAATTAATGAGTTTGTTAGTCTTTGTGGTGGTCATTTGTTTTCATAAGTTATATAAAAAGGGAGAAAATGACCGACTCATTGAGAGAATATAAAATAATTATATTATATAATCTTCTTAATTATATATTTAATTAAAATATTTTTTATTTAAAAAAATTAATAATATGGTATATCGATGATTTTCTATTAGATGATAATAAAAAATTATTTTATTTTATCTATTATATTTTAGTTTGTTATGCCTTCTTTGAGCAATTTAAGATAAAAATAAATAAATAATCACCGCAAACATGGCATAAAATTTAAAATTAATAGTGTTCTTATGCCGCTGTTAAAAAATAGTGGCATCTTTAAATAGTACTATTACTTTATCAAGTTTATAAGAGAAAAAAAAGTTGAGAGTTTGTTACAAAAAAGGTTCGACCTTTATGAGACTGTGATCTAGTGCAATCACACAGTCTCTTCATTAGGCTTGTCAGCCGTATGATTGAAATTGTTGATTCTCATTTAAAATTAATATTTTATGAGTAATATTTCTATTTATCTTAACCCGTGTGATTCAAATCAAAGAGTTTGTGTTGACAACAGACGATTTATTTCCTTCACCTCGACACGCGTGACCTTTATCACTCCGTTGTTTATTCGGTTTGAGCTCTCCCACTTCTCTTCCTGCAACAACACTGGTAGTACGTTTATCTGCGTTTTCTCTCCCTTCGTTGCAACACTACCTTCGTTTCTTTTCATTTTCACTGACTGTGTATACTTTCTCCGTGGTGATTTCAGTTTCCGCTCTTCGGTTTGCGCTCTCCGTCGTCTCTTCTTGCAACCACGTAGTACACGCTTTCTCCCTTCTTCGTTTACTCTCCCTCAACACTAACTTCATGTCTTATCCATTTTCGCTCACGTCTCTTCTGTTTGCTTGGTTTACTTCACTTTCTGGCGGCTGCTTTTCTGATCTTTTTCACTCTCTCCGTCGTCTCTTCGGTTTGTAACAGGTAGTACGGGTTCTCTCTCTTCCCGATGCGTTTACTCTCTCTCCTTTGCAACGCTAACTTTATCTATTGCTCATTCTGCATTTGTGATTTTTCTTCGTACGTTTCCCTCTCTCCCGTGCATTCTCTTGCAACACTAACTTCATATTCACAGACCTGCTTTACTCTCCCCGTCCTCCATGGCTTTACCAGGTTAACTTCTCTTTCCTCATTGTTTTTTCTTGCCTTTTAATCCATCGAATTAAGTTGTTAATTTACAAATCTGAGTGCATCTTTGATTTGACGGTGGAAACACCAAACACACATTTCAGACCCCTCTCACCGTAAAAATGAAAAGCTACAAAAAGTAGCTTCTACTTTGCCGTGGAAACTCACTGTGCTTTTGGTACCCCAACGTCTATCCAAACATATATTTATGATGTTGTTAAGTTTCAACGTTGAAATGTTTCTTTTATGTTGTACTCTATCTATCTTAAATTATAAGTCACTTTGTTGAAATATATATTTGTCCCAAAATTATAAGTGACTTTGTCAAAAATATTTATCTTCAATTATAAGTCACTTTATAATTTCAATATATCATTAATGACATTTTTTTTTGCCTAATATACCTTCCACTATTTATTTCTCTTTCTTCTTTCTATTCTTTTAACTTCGCTTTCCAATGTAATTATTGAACAGTGTTTTTGTATAGTTCATGCATTATTCCATTTTGTCATAAAGTAATAATTGTATTTTTTAATTTGTGTAAAATTGTCAAAACCTCCTATATTAAGTTTCTTTTATATTTGTTTAATTATGAAATGTTTCTTTTTCTTGCAACTATGTGACCATAGCTCATCCACCCACACAAGTGACTAATGCTCGTGTCGACAATTTCACCGGAGCATAAGAAACTAATTTCATCTTGGGGTAAGATTTCTGCTAATTATTTGTTTGCTTATTCATTCGTTATACTACCAACATTAAACTTATTTTTTACTTTACATTCTAGGAAATACAATCGCATACAGATTCTTGTGTATTCTGCTAGAAATTTGGAGGTATCTTGTTTTTATTTGAACTTTTCTTTTCTTCTTTTTTTTTTTATAATGTTATTACCTATATCTTGAGTGCATAATATCTTAGTGTATAGTTGAGTGTACATAAATATATTTTCTCTTTACTGCATGGATACAATTAAAGTAAAAACTTTCTTAAAACTCTTTTATCTTTCTTCTTGAATACAATTGTTTTCTCCTTCTTCATGATGAGTTTATCTATCATTCGCATGGTATCAAAGCAAAATTAGTTTTGTTAGCCATTGTTCGTTATCTTCCTTTCTTTATCTCTATTACAATGGCGATTCAGAGTTTCACTGATTTCACTACCAATTTTACAAATCCCTATTGATGGGAAATTCAACAACAATTAACAGTAACAACTCTAATAGAGCAATACACAGCGAATATAATTTTCTCAACTTGTTGAATCTGTGAGGAGCAACAACAAATAATGCAGCAACTAAAAATCAACAACACAAAGAGACACCAAGATTTTTAACGTGAAAAAAACCTTCTCAAAGTGAGAAGTAAAACAACCACGGGCACAAGCCAGTAAACAAGCTCCACTATGATCAATGTATGGGTACAAGAGAGTCTCAAATGTAGCACAAATCGTGCTCAACAATCAGCCAAAACAACAAGGCAACAAAACATGAAATAGAGAACAAAGAAGAACCAGAAAACTCCAAAGGGCTGCTACTGTGCGTGGCCAATATCTCCCACCTCAGACCTCTGATCGCCGATCACACTGTTCAGATTGAAGAACCGGATGTCAGGAACCTGCAGTTCAAATTTCGGCCAAATCGGACGGTGAACGAAGGAGATATCGCGATTCTATGCGAAAACCTGTTTCTCTTCTCTTCTCTCACTTTTCTCTTGCCTCTCTTGCCTAAATCAGACCTCTCACCCTTACCCTAATTGACCCCTCTCCACTTAGATAAGTGAGACACATGGGCTTGCACATATTGGGCCTTTCTCCACATAGGATGGGAGCCCAAAACCCAACATATCTCCCCCTCACAACTATGTGGAGGTGACCGCCAAACCGGCGATCTCACAACAAGTTTCAAACTTGCTTCTCGGTAATGCCTTGGTCATCATATCAGCACCATTATCATCTGTATGAACCTTGGCCAATTCCAACAACCCAGCATCCAAAGCATCACGTATCCAATGATACCTAACATCAATGTGCTTGGACCTAGAATGAAAAGTTGAATTCTTACCAAGATGAATTGCACCTTGACTATCACAAAATAGCAAGTGTTTGTCCTGCACAAAACCAAGCTCCTGCAAGAATTTCTTCAACCAAATCAACTCCTTGCATGCTTCTGTAATGGCAATAAACTTTGCCTCAGTAGTGGACAATGCAACACATCTCTGCAATCTGGATTGCCATGCCACAGCTCCCCCTGCAAACTTAATCAAGTAGCCTGAAGTAGACTTTCTGGAATCAATGTCTCCAGCCATATCAGAATCAGTATAGCCCACAAGAGTAGGTATATCACCTCCAAAACAAAGCCTCAAACTGGTAGTACCATGAAGATACCTCAAAATCCATTTCACAGCATTCCAATGCTCTCTACCTGGATTAGACAGAAATCTACTGACTGTACCAATAACATGTGCAATATCAGGTCTTGTACACACCATTGCATACATCAAACTCCCCACAGCAGATGCATAAGGAACCTGTTGCATATCTAATTTTTCAGCTTCATTGGAAGGACTCTGATTAACACTCAATTTGAAATGAGCAGCAAGAGGAGTACTTACAGCCTTAGCATTTTCCATCTGGAACCTCTGAAGCACCCTTTTAACATAGTGTTCCTGTGACAGCCAAAGTTTCTTCTTGTTCCTGTCACGCATGATTCTTATACCAAGAATCTGATTGGCAGCTCCCATGTCTTTCATGGCAAATGACTCACCCAATTTCTTCTTCAACCTGTCAATCATGGAAATATTTTTCCCAACAATAAGCATGTTATCAACATACAATAACAGGATAATGAAATTATCATCGGCAAACTTTTTAACAAAGACACAGTGATCAGAAGTAGTCTTCTTGTAGCCTTGCTCACACATAACAGACTCAAACTTCTTGTACCACTGACGCGGGGCTTGCTTCAAGCCATATAGGCTCTTTCTCAATCTGCACACATAGTCTTCCTTCCTTGCCTTTAACAAGAAAACCATCAGGTTGCTTCATGTAAATCTCTTCCTCCAAATCACCTTGAAGGAAAGCAGTTTTTACATCCATTTACTCTACCTCTAGATCAAGAGTAGCAGCCAAACCCAACACGGTTCTTATGGATGACATCTTCACCACAGGAGAAAAAATCTCATTGAAATCAACACCCTTTCTTTGTCTGAAACCTTTCACCACCAATCTGGCTTTATATCTTGGAGATGTAGAATTGCTTTCTTGCTTTACCCTGTAAATCCACCTGTTTTCCAAAGCCTTCTTGCCCTTAGGCAATTTCACCAAATCAAAAGTGTGATTATCATGCAAAGACTTCATTTCATCTTGCATAGCATCCAGCCACTTCTTCTTTTCATCACTCTCCATGGCCTCATTAAAACACCCAGGTTCTTCTTCATCTGTCAACTGTCAAGGTAACATAGTCATCAGAAGGATACCTGGTAAATGGTTTCCTCTGCCTATTAGACCTCCAAAGTTGAACTTGAGGTGGTTCAGGAGCATCACCAAGATCTTCATCTTGTGACATCTCATGTTCCTCTTCAGCATCATCAACAGGAATATCTACATCATCTCCAAGCTGCTGGTCACCAACATCATCATGTTGCTCATCATTCTGAACATTATTTTCAGCAGTATCCAGATCATGAACAGGCCTCCGAACTGGATCAACATCAGACAAACTATTATCAATCTCTGATGTAGTCTTCTCCATCTTATCAATGTCTTCAATGGTTTGGTCTTCCATGAACTTCACATCACGGCTTCTAACAGCTTTCTTCCCAACTGGATCATATAGCTTGTAGCCAAATTCATCCTGACCATACCCGATAAAAATACACTGCCTTGTCTTCGCATCCAACTTGGATCTCTCATCCTTTGGAACATGAACATATGCTTTGCAACCGAAGACACACAAATGATCATATTTGACATTCTTGCCAAACCAAATTTTGTCTGACACCTCTGCATTCAAAGCAACCGCAGGACTCAGATTAATAACATGCACTGCTGTGTACAATGCTTCACCCCAGAAATGTTTAGGCAACTTTGCTTCAGAAAGCATACACCTAACTCTTTCAATCAAAGTTCTATTCATCCTCTCCGCTAAACCATTCAGCTGAGGAGTTTTAGGAGGAGTCTTTTCATGTCTCATACCGTGCTGCTTGCAATAAACATCAAATGGTCCATAATACTCACCACCATTGTCAGTACGAATGCATTTCAGCTTCTTGCCTGACTGTCTCTTCATCATAACATGGAACTCTTTGAATTTCTCCAGAACTTGGTCTTTTGTCTTCAAAGCATAGACCCAAAGTTTCCTGGAACAATCATCAATAAAGGTAACAAAATAAAGTGCACCACTAAATGATTTTACCTTCAACGGGCCACAAACATCAGAATGCACCAATTCAAGCAACTCTGACTTCCTTGAGGGAGGATGCTTCTTGAAGGATACTCTAGCCTGCTTACCAGCCATGCAATGAGAACATTTCTCCAACTCTGCACTCTTCAATCCCGGAAGCACATCCTTTTTAGCTAAACAATTCAGCCCCTTTTCACTGATATGACTAAGCCTGCGGTGCCACAAAGAAGCCTCCATATCCATGACATTCACACTGTCTTTAGCAATCAATGCTTTAGTCCAATACAGTTTATTATCTTTCTCCCCTCTAGCCACAACCAAGTTACCTCTGGTGAGTTTCCATTTTCCAGAACCAAAGTGATTATCATAACCATCTTCACCAAGCATATGCACAGAAATCAAATTGAAGCGTACATCTGGAGCATGTTTGACTCCTCTCAGCAACAACTGCACTCCCATGTTGGTCTGCAAACAAATATCACCAATACCAACTACCTTGGACACACCATCATTACCCATCTTCAACACTCCAAAGTCACCAACAGTGTAAGATGTGAAGAACTCCTTCCTTGGTGTAACATGCAGTGTAGCAGCACTATCAACAGCCCACATGCTCTCATCTGATACAAGATTGACTGAATCATGGTCACGGAGAATAATCAGATCATCACAAGTAGCAGTAGTAACACGGTCATCATCATCATGATTCTTATCTCCCTGCTTACTATTATTGTTTTTGTTATCCCTTTTCCATATGAAACAGTTTTTCTGTATGTGCCCCATTTTGTGACAATGATTGCACTCAACATTCTTGTATCTGGACTTGGACTTACTTTTGTTGTTGTCTCTACTTGCACTCCTGCTATTCTGCCGGTTCCCTTTCGATTCCTTTTTCTGACTCCTGCCTCTGTTCTCAATGACAAGTACCTCAAAATGAGATGAAGTGCCCTGTGCCTTCCTTCTCATCTCCTCATTCAGAACACTTCCCTTTACACTTTGCAAAGAGACAACACCATCAGAAGCTGAGTTTGTAATTGAAACCCGAAAAGTTTCCCAAGAATCTGGCAGAGTATTCAGTAGCCATAGTCCCAAAATTTCATCATCAAATTTGATACCCATACCTGACAATTGATCTAGGAGCCCTTGAAAATCATTCAAGTGATCAGAAATAGAAGTTCCCTCCTTGTACCTCAAATTCATCAAGGAATTCAACAAATACAACTTATTATTCCCTGATTTAGAAGCATACAAAGATTCAATCTTCTTCCACAAGGATTTGGCATGTTCCTCATTAGCAATGTGATTATAAACATTGTCTTCTACAAATTGCCGAATAAAACCACAAACCTGCTGATGTTCAAAATTTCACTATTCATCAGTTTTGGATTCCGGCTTCTCACTAGCAAACACAGGAAGATGCATATTTTTCACAAATAACAGATCCTTCATTTTTCCCTTCCACAAATGATAATTAGTGCCATTCAAAGAAATCATTCTATTTGTATTTGCCTCCATCATTCAAACAAGTCAAACAGCTCCTTAACCAAAGAGCTCTGATGCCACTCTGATGGGAAATTCAACAACAATTAACAGTAACAACTCTAATAGAGCAATACACAGCGGATATAATTTCCCCAACTTGTTGAATCTGTGAGGAGCAACAACAAATAATGCAGCAACTAAAAATCAACAACACAAAGAGACACCAAGATTTTTAACGTGGAAAAAACCTTCTCAAAGTGAGAAGTAAAACAACCACGGGCACAAGCCAGTAAACAAGCTCCACTATGATCAATGTATGGGTACAAGAGAGTCTCAAATGTAGCACAAATCGTGCTCAACAATCAGCCAAAACAACAAGGCAACAAAACATGAAATAGAGAACAAAGAAGAACCAGAAAACTCCAAAGGGCTGCTACTGTGTGTGACCAATATCTCCCACCTCATACCTCTGATCACCGATCACACTGTTCAGATTGAAGAACCGGATGTCAGGAACCTGCAGTTCAAATTTCGGCCAAATCGGACGGTGAACGAAGGAGATATCGCGATTCTAGTGCAGCTGCTATGTGTATGTGCGAAAATCTGTTTCTCTTCTCTTCTCTCACTTTTCTCTTGCCTCTCTTGCCTAAATCAGACCTCTCACCCTTACCCTAATTGACCCCTCTCCACTTAGATAAGTGAGACACATGGGCTTGCACATATTGGACCTTTCTCCACATAGGATGGGAGCCCAAAACCCAACACCTATTACCTTCATCTGGATGAGAATTTATCCGTTGTTATTGTTTCTTCACAGCTTGATAGTCTCTACATTTCTTTATTTAATGTCAATCTTATCTCTATAGCCAAACTAGCTCAAAGCAATGATTGTTCTGTATAATTCATGCTAATTCATACTCATTATGCAGAATTCTTCAAAGGAGACAATTGGTAGGTGAATTGCAAAGTGGATTCTATGTCCTTGATTCTTCTGACTACACTGTAATTTTGTTTCTAATAATGATTGTAATATTTGGCACTCAGATTAATACACTTATCTCACATAGGCTTATAAAATGTTGCTAAATTTTTGTTTGAGGTAAAAACACATACTCTCTTTGTGATGTTTGTCATTTTGCATTTGCAGACGATGGTTGATGTTGTTCCAATTTATGGACGAATTGCATCTCTACAACTATTTCATCTTCGTGTGAGTTTTTATTTCAGTTTTTAGTTTTTAGTTTTATATTTACCTTAAAATCTTGTTTTCTTTTTATTTGATTATTTTATCTTTCCATCAAACAGAGGGAAACTTTGTTTATTTTTACTGAGGAATGCAAATTTTGTGTTCTGCAATGGGATCATTTAAATGGAAAGCTCGTTACTAGTTAATGAAATGCAATCACATATATTTATATTTCCTACCATTGAAATTGAATTTTAAACTGGTTAGAAATCACCCTAAGTATTTTTGTTATCGTTAGTCAGATATACGAAAGATGTTGTCGAGTGTAACATAAAACATCGTAAAACAGAGATACCTACCATCGATACAGATTACATGTTTATTGGACTTCACATGTATAATGGACTTTGTTTGTTCAAGAATCAGTTACCTAATGTTTTGAACATCAAATTTCTCTTTGTTTGTTCAAAACCAACTATTGCCGTTCTTTATTAGGTTTTTAATTCTACTCTACTTTTTAAGCCGATATTACATACAATACGTAGACTGTTATTGTATTTTCTTTCCTTTAACTTTCATGTTTCTCTAAGTTTCGAATACAACAATTTAAGTTTATGTTATTTCTATTTTTTTTCCTGCATTATGTCCAAATATATATATCCGTCATAGCAGCTATGGCGTTTATAACATTGTTGATATGAGGTGGTTGTTGATTCAGCTGATTGTATCCCTGGGTGGTAGTTATCTACTAGTGGCTCTTGTTTGTGGAGTTTTGTATAAACTGACAGCAAAACTCCTCAAACAAGCGCACTAGTAGATAACTACCACCCCAAGAATATAACAAGCTGTGTCAACAACCACCTTATAGCAACAAAATTGCGATTCTATAGTCGCTATGATATATATATATATATATATATATATATATATATATATATATATATATATATATATATATATATATATATATATATATATATATATATATATATAAAATGCAGAAAAAAATAGAAATAACAAAAACTTAAATTATTGTATTCGAACCTTAGAGAAATATGAAAGTTAAACAATAACAGTCTACACATTGTATCTAATACCAGCTTAAAAAGTAGAGTAGAATTTAAAACCTCATAAAGAACGGTAATAGTTGGTTTCGAACAACCAAAGAGAAATTTGATGTTCAAAACATTAGGTATCTTAAGCCGACTGATTCTTAAAAGTGATCACTATCAAAAGAAAAGACCTTATAAAGTCCATTATACATGTGAAGTCCAATAACCTCGTCGATGGTAGCTATCTGTGTTGTACGAAGTTTTCTGTTACACTCGGCAACATCTTTCGTATATCTGAATAACGATAACAAAAATACTTAAGATCATTTCTAACCAGTTTAAAATTCAATTTCAATGGTAGAAAATATAACTATATGTGATTGCATTTCATTAACTAGTAATGAGTTTTGTATTTAAATGATCCGAGAACACAAAATTTGTCTTGCTCAGTAAAAATAAACAACAAAGTTTGATGGAAAGAAAAAATAATCAAATAAAAAGAAAATAGGATTTTAAGGTAAACATAAAACTGAAATAAAAACTCACACGAAAGTGAAATAGTTGTAGAGATGTAATTCGTCCATAAATAAGAACATTTAGCAACATTTTGTAACTATCACAAAGTAGAGTATGTGTTTTTACATGAAACAAAAATTTAACAACATTTTGTAAGTCTATGTGACATAAGTGTCCTAATCCGGGTGTCAAATATTATCATCATTATTAGAAACAAAATTGCAACGGTAGTCAGGACATAAAGTCCACCTTGCAATTCAACTATACCAATTGTTTCCTTTGAAGGATTCTGCATAATGGAGCATGAATTATACGAACAATCATTTGAGCTAATTTGGCTATAGAGATAAGATTTACATTAAATGTAGAGCTATCATCAAACAGTGGAGAAACAAGAACCATTGTTGGTTTCTCATTCGGACGAAGGTAATAGGAATTTGTAGAATTGATAGTGAAGCTAGAGTAGAGATAGAGAAAGGAAGATAACGAACAATGGCTACTAGAGCTAGTTTTGCTCAGAAGAAAGATAAGAGAATTTCAAGAAAACTTTTACTTTAATTGTATCTATGCAGTAAAGAAAAAATATATTTATGTACACTCAGCTATACACTAAGATATTATGTACACAAGATATAGCTAATAACATTATAAAAAAATTCAAATAAAAACACGATACCTCCAAATTTCTAACAGAATACATAAGAATCTCTATGCGATTGCATTTCCTAAAACGCAAAGTAAAAAATAAGTTTAATGTCGGTAATATAACGAATGAATAAGCAAACAAATAATTAGCAGAAATCTTATCCCAAGATGAGATTAGTTTATTACGGGTTGAACACTCAACTCAAACCAACGACTATTGATTGGGTCGGGTATTGGATTTAATCAAATTAGACCCGACCCAACCCAGAAACACCCCTAGTTATTAGTTTTGTGGTGACTTTCTTTTGGATCTTGTGCTCCTCCTTGAAATTCTCGCCTTTTGTTCTTTGTTAGGGTACCATCAATCAATTATAGATCTTCTCAACTTCTCAAAAGAAATTGAAATCTCCAAAACTCTATGGTTTTGGTGTTAGAATTGTTTAGTTAATGCCACTATTTTAGAAATGCATGTCTTTATATTGTTTATACTCCCAAAGTACTAGTATCCTTGTGCTATTTATCTACTCATTTTTTCTAGTATTGTTGTGTAGCTTACCTATTCATGCTTTCTAGCATTCTGATTCTTATGTGGCTTATCTATTCCATTTTTCTATCATCTGTGGCAGGATACAAAGTGTCATCATCATGTTAAGACTTACAAGATTTCTTTGAAAGAGGGGTGTTTTGCTGAAGATTCTTTGTCGCATATCAACCTTGATTATGGGTCTCACTCATTGATCCCAGTTCTGCCACCTCTTTGTGGTTTACTTATCATTGGAGGAAAAGAGGTCACATATTGCAATGCTGATGTGCTTGAAACCATCTTGATTGAAGATGTATGCTGTAGAATAGTAAATTCTATTCAACTAAACTTCTGCTAGGAAATTCTAAGTTCCTCCTATTATGTCTAAATGACATGACAAGTTGGATTTTTTATAACTATATTTTATGGGTGCATTTCAGTCAAATACCATAGCTTATGGAATGGTTGATCCTTATGGTTTTAGCTATTTACTTGGCAGCCACGGGGATGTTTAAGTTTATTTTTGATAACCCATGAGAAAGAGAAGTATGTTATCTCACTTATGCTTGCTTCATTTTTCATTGAAATGTTATCATTATTATATTTTTCATTAAATATATTGTTGCCTAGTCTTATAGTTTATCATAATTTTTAGGGTTACCGGACTCCAAATTAAGCATCTCGGAGATACTTCAATTGCATATTCGATATCATGCGTTGATCAAGGAACTGTATACATTGGTTCTAAATATGGGGATTCACAGGTGTGGTATTAACTTAACCTGTTTAATTTCATACTAAGAGATATACCTATTAACTATTTCTAGTTGAAATACAGCTTATAAAGCTTGATCTAAAAGCAGAAAGCCGAGAATGTAAAAGTTTTGAAATTGTATGCCAATTTGGGGCCAATTATGGACTTTTGTATGATAGCCCCCAAAATGAATGGTCTAGGAGCGCTGGTAACTTGTTCGGGAACCTACAAGAACAGGTCTCTTCGCGTTCTTTGAAACACAATAGGGGTTGACGAACAGGTCAGTCCCCGCCCCACTATGCAACCTAAGACACACAAATGCCAAATAAAAATGAGTCTTTGCAAAATATTAATTTTCTGATGCATTTATGTGAAATAGATGCTAAATGAAGATGAAAAAGGTATCAAAGGAACATGGTCAATAAAAGCCTCAGATGACCGTGTTTATCTGATTCTGTCTTATGTACAAGCTTCCTCGTCTTTCGTATTGAAACCAAATGGTGAGATGGATGAAAAAAAAATGGAAGGATTATATTATGAAGCTCAGTCATTATTTTGCCATGAGGCAATTCACAACCAACTGTTACAGGTACAATCTCTGACCTTATTTTCCTACAATAAGTTTTCCTCTTTTCTGGTTGATTAGAGTGATACCTCTGACTACAATTAAGCAAACTAGATGTTGCATTAAAATAGACACCAAGATATTTTGGCATTTTCATTATTCAATCAAGTTTAAGTTTAGGTTGTCAATTTTATTGTATTTTTATACAGGATCCCATTACCCGGAATTTCAAAATGTTTTTCACATAAACAAAAACAATAAGTATTAGATACAAATACAATGGGCTGATTATATGTTTTTAGTTATTGGGCTTTATTAATTTGTTGATAAGCCCATTAGGTTTCTTATATATTCTGTAAAGCCTTTTGGCATAAACAACAAGTAGAATTCAATTTTCATCCTCTTCAGCCTTTTGCCGCCAATGGCTTTTCTTCGACCTAAAGCTCCTCTATGGTTGTAATAATAAGTATACATACCCCCTTGCATTAAAAGGATATTTGCTCTCTTTTCCATGAAGATTCATGTTTTTCTTAATATTCTGGACATTTAAACCAAGTATTCAAAGTATGGTGGAGTTATTGTTATTCCCAATTGCCTCTTTCACATTTCTCCATTACAGGTGTTAATTTTGTAAGCCATACTTGCAATATAGATCTTGCATGCTTGAGAGGCTAACCGTCATTCCTATATTCTGAATGCTTGAGTGAAGTCCTTGATGTTGATGCTAATGTTATTCTGCCCTTTAATCCAAAATTTTCGGTTTGTTTTATTTTTTGGCACATGGTAGTAACTTTTCATTGGCTGATAAACCACCATAACAGGTAACGTCTGAATCCTAAGATTGGTGAGTTCCACAGATGGAAGCCTCGCATATGAATGCCGTGCACCATCAGGCTGGTCATATGGTGTTGCTACTGCGAATGCTACCCAGGTTTTATTCTTAGGCTTCATCAATATGTTATCATGTAAACTATAGGTGATACTTTTGTTGGATAAGCATTTACCATTATTCTGAAAGCTATAGATAGCTGCCGAAAAGTTTGTATATTTTTTTTTCCTTTTAGTATTTCAGAACCAAAAAAATAAGCATTACAAAACTGCATATGTTACTGTTACCTGGCTTGAGATGTGAATCCTGGGAATCTTAAGAAAGATGCTCCTCACTCATCTGATTTGTATATATCACCTGTTGGTATGCTCATTGTCGGTTTGATCATCCATGAGCATTTCCTTCCACTTAACTGTTGCAGCTGTTGGTATGATTTCTGAAAGGTTGTTAATAATCATTGATTACTACTATGCAGATTTTGTTGGCCACAAAGAGTAATGAATCGGTAGAATTGATTTATTTGGAAATTGGAGATGGAGTACTCCAGCAAATACTGAAAGCCAAAATGGAGTATCAGGTATCATGCTTAGACCTAACCCCATTGGAGAAAACCCCAATAATAGTGATCTAGCCGCAGTTGGATTTTGGATTAAGTATAGTGTTTCAATATACTCTCTTCCGGACCATCAATGTGGATTTGAGTCCAATGGTACCGCGATCGGTTCTTTTTTGTGCTTTTGAAGGGGTAGGCTTTCCTTGAGCTATTTTAAAATAGAGTACAGAAGTTAGAGTTTTACTCATTTGACAATTGAGTTATATTTTGCAGATTCCTTACTTGCTATGCGGTCGGGGTGATGGCGATCTGTTTTACTATCTGTTGAACACATGTACTGGTTTGTTAACATACAAGAAAATGGTCTCTTTTGGAGAAACACCGATTGCACTAAGGACTGTTCCATCCAATACTACATGTGTCCTAGCTGTATGTGATAGGACAGTTATGATTTTTAGCAGAGAGAAGGAGTTACTTCATAATTATGTGAATCTGAGCATCGTCAACGTTGTGTCCCCTTTCAACTCCTCCGAGAGAATGCATCACCGGTCTCTGTTTTGGTACACCAGGTAGTAGTGGTTTTCAATTTTGCACTAAGTATCATCTTGGAGAACATGTCACTAGGTTCCGACAGGGTATCACTCAAACCAAATTTTTTGGCACCCGTAATGGTGGGATTGGAGTGGTTGCTTCACTTCCTAAGAAACTGTTCAGCTTTTTAGGAGTGGTGAAATCTGTTGGAGGGCTAAGCCATACAGAGTGGAGAGGATTTAAATCAGAAAATGATTGGACTTCTGAATTTTTGGATGGTGATTTCATAGAATCATTTCTTGATCTCCAGCCTGATGAGATGGAAGTGATATCTCTAGTAGTGAAGCGTTCAGTAGAAGAGTTAATTCAAATTGTTGAAAGGTTGAGAAAATTGCACTCAGCTATTCATCTTATCAGTTGATTTTGTTTCGTACTCTTATGTGTTGGGTTTTGGGCTCCCATCCTATGTGGAGAAAGGCCCAATATGTGCAAGCCCATGTGTCTCACTTATCTAAGTGGATAGAGGTCAATTAAGGTAAGTGTGAGAGGTCTGATTTAGGCAAGAGAGGCAAGAGAAAAGTGAGAGAAGAGAAGAGAAACATATTTTCGCACATACACATAGCAGTTGCACTAGAATCGCGATATCTCCTTCGTTCACTGTCCGATTTGACCGAAATTTGAACTGCAGGTTCCTGACATCCGGTTCTTCAATCTGAACGGTGTGATCGGCGATCAGAGGTTTGAGGTTTTCTGATTCTTCTTTGTTCTCTATTTCATGTTTTGTTGCCTTGTTGTTTTAGCTGATTGTTAAGCATGATTTGTGCTACATTTGAGACTCTCTTGTACCCATACATTGATCATAGTGGAGTTTATTTATTGGCTTGTGTCCGTGGTTGTTTTACTTCTCACTTTGAGAATGTTTTTTTCACGTTAAAAATCTTGGTGTCTCTTTGTGTTGTTGATTTTTAGTTGCTGTATTATTTGTTGTTGCTCCTCACAGATTCAACAAGTTGGGAAAATTATATCCGCTGTGTATTGCTCTATTAGAGTTGTTACTGTTAATTGTTGTTGAATTTCCCATCTGAGTGGCATCAGAGCTCTTTGGTTAAGGAGCTGTTTGACTTGTTTGAATGATGGAGGCAAATACAAATAGAATTATTTCTTTGAATGGCACTAATTATCATTTGTGGAAGGGAAAAATGAAGGATCTGTTATTTGTGAAAAATATGCATCTTCCTGTGTTTGCTAGTGAGAAGCCGGAATCCAAAACTGATGAAGAGTGGAATTTTGAACATCAGCAGGTTTGTGGTTTTATTCGGTAATTTGTAGAAGACAATGTTTATAATCACATTGCTAATGAGGAACATGTCAAATCCTTGTGGAAGAAGATTGAATCTTTGTATGCTTCTAAATTTGGGAATAATAAGTTGTATTTGTTGAATTCCTTGATGAATTTGAGGTACAAGGAGGGAACTTCTATTTATGATCACTTGAATGATTTTCAAGGGCTCCTAGATCAATTGTCAGGTATAGGTATCAAATTTGATGATGAAATTTTGGGACTATGGCTACTGAATACTCTACCAGATTCTTGGGAAACTTTTCGGGTTTCAATTACAAACTCAGCTTCTGATGGTGTTGTCTCTTTGCAAAGTGTAAAGGGAAGTGTTCTGAATGAGGAGATAAGAAGGAAGGCACAGGGTACTTCATCTCATTCTGAGGTACTTGTCACTGAGAACAGAGGCAGGAGTCAGAAAAAGGAACCGAAAGGGAACCGGAAGAATAGCAGGAGTGTGAGTAGAGACAACAACAGAAGTAAGTCCAAGTCCAGATACAAGAATGTTGAGTGCAATCATTGTCACAAAATGGGGCACATACAGAAAAACCGTTTCATATGGAAAAGGGAGAACAAAAACAATAATAGTAAGCAGAGAGATAAGAATCATGATGATGATGACCGTGTTACTACTGCTACTTGTGATGATCTGATTATTCTCCGTGACCATGATTCAGTCAATCTTGTATCAGATGAGAGCATGTGGGCCGTTGATAGTGCTGCTACACTGCATGTTACACCAAGGAAGGAGTTCTTCACATCTTACACTGCTGGTGACTTTGGAGTGTTGAAGATGGGTAATGATGGTGTGTCCAAGGTAGTTGGTATTGGTGATATTTATTTGCAGACCAACATTGGAGTGCAGTTGTTGCTGAGAGGAGTCAAACATGCTCCAGATGTTCGCTTCAATTTGATTTCTGTGCATATGCTTGATGAAAGTGGTTACGATAATCACTTTGGTTCTGGAAAATGGAAACTCGCCAGAGGTAACTTGGTTGTGGCTAGAGGGAAGAAAGATAATAAACTGTATTGGACTAAAGCATTGGTTGCTAAAGACAGTGTGAATGTCATGGATATGGAGGCTTCTTTGTGGCACCGCAGGCTTAGTCATATCAGTGAAAAGGGGTTGAATTGTTTAGCTAAAAAGGATGTGCTTCCGGAATTGAAGAGTGCAGAGTTGGAGAAATATTCTCATTGCATGGCTGGTAAGCAAACTAGAGTATCCTTCAAGAAGCATCCTTCCTCAAGGAAGTCAGAGTTGCTTGAATTGGTGCATTATGATGTTTGTGGCCCGTTGAAGGTAAAGTCATTTAGTGGTGCACTTTATTTTGTTACCTTTATTGATGATTGTTCCAGGAAGCTTTGGGTCTATGCTTTGAAGACAAAAGACTAAGTTCTGGAGAAATTCAAAGAGTTCCATGTTATGGTGGAGAGACAGTCAGGCAAGAAGCTGAAATGCATTCGTACTGACAATGGTGGTGAGTATTGTGGACCATTTGATGTTTATTGCAAGCAACACGGTATCAGACATGAAAAGACTCCTCCTAAAACTCCTCAGCTGAATGGTTTAGCGGAGAGGATGAATAGGACTTTGATTGAAAGAGTTAGGCGTATGCTTTCTGAAGCAAAGTTGCCTAAACATTTCTGGGGTGAAGCATTGTACACGACAGTGCATGTTATTAATCTGAGTCATGCAGTTGCTTTGAATGCAGAGGTGTCAGACAAAATTTGGTTTGGCAAGAATGTCAAATATGATCATTTGCGTGTCTTCGGTTGCAAAGCATATGTTCATGTTCCAAAGGATGAGAGATCCAAGTTGGATGCAAAGACAAGTCAATGTATTTTTATCGGGTATGGTCAGGATGAATTTGGCTATAAGCTATATGATCCAGTTGGGAAGAAAGCTGTTAGAAGCCGTGATGTGAAGTTCATGGAAGACCAAACCATTGAAGACATTGATAAGATGGAGAAGACTACACCAGAGATTGATAATAGTTTGTCTGATGTTGATCCAGTTCGAAGGCCTGTACATGATCTGGATGCTGCTGAAAATAATGTTCAGAATGATGAGCAACATGATGATGTTGGTGACCAGCAGCTTGGAGATGATGTAGATATTCCTGTTGATGATGCTGAAGAGGAACATGAGATGTCACAAGATAAAGATCTTGGTGATGCTCCTGAACCACCTCAAGTTCAACTTTGGAGGTCTAATAGGCAGAGGAAACCATCTACCAGGTATCCTTCTGATGACTATGTTACTTTGACAGATGAAGGAGAACCTGAGTGTTTTAATGAGGACATGGAGAGTGATGAAAAGAAGAAGTGGTTGGATGCTATGCAAGATGAAATGAAGTCTTTGCATGATAATCACACTTTTGATTTGGTGAAATTGTCTAAGGGCAAGAAGGCTTTGGAAAATAGGTGGATTTACAGAGTAAAGCAAGAAAGCAATTCTACATCTCCAAGATATAAAGCCAAATTGGTGGTGAAAGGTTTCAGACAAAGAAAGGGTGTTGATTTCAATGAGATTTTTTCTCATGTGGTGAAGATGTCATCCATAAGAACCGTGTTGGGTTTGGCTGCTACTCTTGATCTAGAGGTTGAGCAAATGGATGTAAAAACTGCTTTCCTTCATGGTGATTTAGAGGAAGAGATTTACATGAAGTAACCTGATGGTTTTCTTGTTAAAGGCAAGGAAGACTATGTGTGAAGATTGAGAAAGAGCCTATATGGCTTGAAGCAAGCCCTGCGTCAGTGGTACAAGAAGTTTGAGTCCGTTATGTGTGAGCAAGGCTACAAGAAGACTGCTTCTGGTCACTGTGTTTTTGTTAAAAAGTTTACTGATGATAATTTCATTATCCTGTTATTGTATGTTGATGACATGCTTATTGTTGGGAAAAATATTTCCATGATTGACAGGTTGAAGAAGCAATTGGGCGAGTCATTTGCCATGAAAGAAATGGGAGCTGCTAATCAGATTCTTGGTATAAGAATCATGCGTGACAGGAACAAGAAGAAACTTTGGCTGTCACAGGAACACTATGTTAAAAGGGTGCTTCAGAGGTTCCAGATGGAAAATGCTAAGGCTGTAAGTACTCCTCTTGCTACTCATTTCAAATTGAGTGTTAATCAGAGTCCTTCCAATGAAGCTGAAAAATTAGATATGCAACGGGTTCCTTATGCATCTGCTGTGGGGAGTTTGATGTATGCAATACAAGATCTGATATTGCACATGTTGTTGGTACAGTCAGTAGATTTATGTTTAATCTAGGTAGAGAGCATTGGAATGCTGTGAAATAGATTTTGAGGTATCTTCATGGTACTACCAGTTTGAGGCTTTGTTTTGGAGGTGATATACCTACTTTTGTGGGCTATACTGATTCTGATATGGATGGAGACATTGATTCCATAAAGTCTACTTCAGGCTACTTGATTAAGTTTGCAGGGGAAGCTGTGGCATGGCAATCCAGATTGCAGAGATGTGTTGCATTGTCCACTACTGAGGCAAAGTTTATTGCCATTACAGAAGCATGCAAGGAGTTGATTTGGTTGAAGAAATTCTTGCAGGAGCTTGGTTTTGTGCAGGACAAATACTTGTTATTTTGTGATAGTCAAGGTGCAATTAATCTTGGTAAGAATTCAACTTTTCATTCTAGGTCCAAGCACATTGATGTTAGGTATCATTGGATATGTGATGCTTTGGATGTTGGGTTGTTGGAATTGGCCAAGGTTCATACAGATGATAATGGTGCTGATATGATGACCAAGGCATTACCGAGAAGCAAGTTTAAAACTTGTTGTGAGATCGTCGGTTTGGCGGTCACCTCCACATAGTTGTGAGGGGGAGATATGTTGGGTTTTGGGCTCCCATCCTATGTGGAGAAATGCCCAATATGTGCAAGCCCACGTGTCTCACTTATCTAAGTGGAGAGGGGTCAATTAGGGTAAGTGTGAGAGGTCTGATTTAGGCAAGAGAAAAGTGAGAGAAGAGAAGAGAAACAGATTTTCGCACATACACATAGCAGCTGCACTAGAATCGTGATATCTCCTTCGTTCACCGTCCGATTTGGCCGAAATTTGAACTGCAGGTTCCTGACATCCGGTTCTTCAATCTGAACGGTGTGATCAGCGATCAGAGGTCTGAGGTGGGAGATATTGGCCACGCACAGTAGCATCCCTTTGGAGTTTTCTGGTTCTTCTTTGTTCTCTATTTCATGTTTTGTTGCCTTGTTGTTTTGGCTGATTGTTGAGCATGATTTGTGCTACATTTGAGACTCTCTTGTACCCATACATTGATTATAGTGGAGTTTGTTTACTGGCTTGTGCCTGTGGTTGTTTTACTTCTCACTTTGAGAAGGTTTTTTTCACGTTAAAAAT